GTCTTATAGTGCTGGTGTCAATGCCATTCTCGTTTGAATGTGCTCTGTATGTCCTCCACTCTACAGAGTGCCGTTCAGTTGCACAAATGGCATTCAGAAGTAAACTTAAGCTTTAACATTTTGTGCGTGTGTGTGTGCGATCCGGTTTAGAGCTGCTGTACAACCTGACGGCTGATGTGGATAAGAGACAAAAGAGCCTGCCTTCACGCGTCTACTTCATTCAGAGTGGCTCTCAGATCAGCCAAAAGAGCGAGCAGCTCAAATTGGACATCAACAAGGATGAGTGCCAGCGCTACACTGCCTATGTCAAAGTAAGTTTAGACGGTCTGGTCCCCGTGTTGGCTTGTTGTCTTTGCCGTTGAACTCCCATAAATAGCCTCTTGAGTTTGTTTCCCACGATGGAAACACTTATCATGCAGTGTGACATTCGAACTATTTCCCTCTGAAGTTTGTTTTGATCTTCATCTGTTTATTTCAGAGGCCAAGTGCACACTTTTCCAGTTGAAATGTTTATGCTGTTTAATACAAATAAGCAACATTCACAATCAAGGAAGCAACATCACAGAATGTGTAGGCGGCTATGAGAATATTTGCCCACCTCCCTTCCATCAGTTGCTGAGGTTAACGTACCAGTCATGCGCTTGATGAAATAATGCTGTCATCGGGCTGTGTATTACTATCATCGAGTGTACATGTCTCAGAAAAAGACACAAAGTCTCCATTGTCATCACAGTCCCTCCATTATTTTCTGCTGTGATTATGCTATGCAGCCATAGAGAGGGTCCACGTCCTGAGGGCACCGGCCATGCTTCCCTTCCTCATACACAGAAGTCTATAGTGCATGCTTGTAAATTCCATGACCAGTTTTTATAGATAGATAGATGCCTGGTACTTTGTCTGTGGGAGGTTCAGCTACCCACTGGGGAGGAAACAGCGTGGGGGGGGGGGGGGGCATGCTTCTCCTTGGTGATCCACGGACACGATACGAGCATCACACAGCACAGATGGAGCAATGAGTTATTTTATCACCATTTATGTGCCTTATTTAAATCTGTCATCGACCACCTCTTTTTCGTATTCTTAAATAGCTTGTAAAATTGGATATCGGATTGCTAAAATTATGATTTACCGTCCAATCCATACTACTGTTTTTTTTTTTGTAGTTATGCCCTATCAACTCCCGAAACATCTATCGGGCTGTGGGTATTTGACAGGATTATCACCAACTGTGCAAATTCCCTTTAACCCTGTAATGCCTGACCCATCAAGGAATAGCCAGAAAAATCAGATTTTGCGAACTGAGATGACATTTTCCCTTATAAAAAAATCCACAAAAATATTTTTGCCATATCATGTTGTTTTAGATATTTGTCATATCACATTTATAAGCATTATGTAGATTACATCTGAAAATGATAATTTGGGGAAAATCATATTTTAAACCTGCAGTATTAAATTTGATACAGATGATTTCATGTAAGATAAAGAATGAGTTACATAATGAAAATGCATGTATCAAATATGATACAAATGGCATTATAGGGTTAAGTTTCTAGCGATGGTCACGAGGAGGTGTTGTCCTGTTATGGTTACTATTTATTGATTGTCCACAACTAAAAGTGAAATAGTTGCCTTTGCATATTCTGTGCAGAGTCGTGTCTCTCCCAACTGACATTTGACAGTTCAAACCTTCTCCAACTGGCAAGGACACCAAATGTGGATGGTGTGAAAACGAGAGCATGTCTGAAAACTCTGGTTTGTCACGTCATTGATGGGTCGTTAGAGGAGATAGTCATGTAAAATGAATTATTGTGACGTGTCAAATTTTATCGTGGTCATGCTGCAGGAACTATGTCACTTGGCTTGGTGTCCAATCCCATGTGTTTTGGCTGTGTTGAAAATCACAGCAGTAGCACAGGCTGAATGATTTAGTGAAATATGAAGGGGTACACACATTATGACCTGCTGTGACTCTTTATTTTTTTTCCAGCATGTGTTTGTCCTAAACTTTAAAGAGTCAGCATTACCAGAGGTGATGCAGTTGCCCTTTCAAGGATTCTTGCTAACCAGTGGCGTCATTTGTCTTTCTCACATGTTTCCCCACATGAACCAGCCAGTTCTCCCATTCCCCAGAAGAGGTATGCTAATGGAAAGCATCTGGTTTCCCAGTTGCATCCTTTTGGGTGGGTCGTAAGCCTTACCAGGGAGTCGTTGTATTCAGTAGACGCACAGAACAGGGGTGAGCACCTCAGCAGGGTGTAAGACTTGTGTTGCTTTTATGTTGGCGGGACGCAAAAGCTTATTTCTTGAGCCGTGACACGTGAGCCTTTCTGGATCGTCTGTCTTCCCTATTTGGTGGCCGAAGGCGTTTTAAAAGATGCACGATAATACACTGTTAAAGTGGAATTTGTTTGGCAAAATGAAGAACTGGAACAGACATGCTCAATTTCAACCATCTGAGTTCAAATTAAAAGTCTAGACCAGTGGCTCAGTAAATCACACTTTGAGAAAACATAATATAACATCAGATATGGCACACGCAAAGGCTCGTACTTCATCACATATTCAGTATTACCTCCTGAAATTATGCAAGTCTGTCATGTTGACCATTTTCAGCATGTTTTCGTTGGCATGGACTTGCGGCATACCAGCCGTCCAGATGGTCCATGTTTGGTTATTTTCGGCGAAATAACCCTCCCGCTTGCTTTTGCCCCCATTGGAAAATGTGATGTTGCAAAGTTATGAGTAATTAAAATTGAAATGACCAGAGGGGCTCCGTGCAACTGAGTCATGTTGTCAGGTAAGCCAAATTCTTCAGTGTCATTTGTGCATCTTAAGTGTTTTGAATTGACATCCTTTTCGGCTGTGGTGAGGTTTCCATGTATTGTGCCAGAATAAACACTTCTTGAAGGTTTGACAGATGCAGACTTAGAACTGGGAATGCAAACATTCTTTGAAAAAAAAAATTATATCTATCTATCTATATATATATATATATATATATATATATA